ATATTAAAATATACCTTGTAAAATTTCGTTACGCTGGATAAATTTTACAAAATACAATACTTATTTACAAACGTTATTACGTGACTTTGATTTTCATATGCATATAAAATCTGATCAATATAGAAATTGCTTCCTCTCCACACGTGATTTATAATAAAGCTTGACTACCACCAGGAATCTAATATTGATCGCTGAATGAAATTATTGCGGCTAACTCGAAGCTAGGAAAATACTGTAATTACAAGTTAACATCTTGATTATTATGTAACAAATACTGTTAGCAACGTGCAGCTCGATTATTTCTATTAATCTACCAGCAATAAGACATGTCTCAACGCAAAAATGTATTCGTTAATAATAATTAATATGTCAGTTCAACAATAATAATGTATAAATAAGATCGATCTGATGTATAAAGATAAGATCACGAAACCTGGATTAAATTTCGTTTCGTAACGATTAAAATGTTCTTACAAAATTTCAATATCACCGATAATAATTTAAAACGCATAACACAGCTGTCTTTTTTATCAGGCACAACACCGTTCGTCCGGCTCTAAATTCGATGTACCTACGTACTCATACGTAATCACTAGTATTTACAACGTAAAATAATGGACGCTAACTAATTTAAATTAGGAAACAAACGTAACTCGTAAAAGCTGCCTGGATCAAAAGTTATAATATGACCGAGTAAATATCGCAAAAGGAAAGAGTCACTTAGCTGTGAGCTCGCGTCTTGAACTATATTCTAACACCTTCGGTAATTAATGTCGATGTCGATCATGACGTGCGTATAAAAAAGGGGGCAAAGGTAGAATTGATAGTAACAAAAGATAGAGAGACGAAAAGGCAGCGAAACCGATAATGTCATCGGACAGGTACTTCGCAAACGTTCGTATACCCACTTCATGATCGATCACGAATCTCCTATTCTACATTGAGCTTGAAGAAATCGCATAATGAAAACGAAGATAACTGTATGTATAGGAGGCAATCGTTAGAGGAATACTATTCGTCTATTAATCTCAACAGAGTTGTGCAAAGAAACAACTGATCGAACCATGGATCTGATTATCATTTCATATAGCACACTCTTTGTGCACAATATAAAACGAGCCAAATTATCATACTGATTTCGAAAGTGGATTTCTTGCACGGTCTCATGTCACGAAACTCTTGAGCATATCTACTACGACACCCTGTAAACGTCTTGCAGCGATTCCATTTTGATCTACATACATCCATTGTACATAACTTATCCGGGGTGATCAGAGTCTGTATATAATAGAATTAAAATCTCACTAAGAAGAGAAGAAGATGGAACATCGTCAGAAGTCACAAAAATCGCGCTTTCCTCTTTCTTCATAGGCGTTCTATGACGTCTGCGTCGTATCAATGCAAGTGTCGCGCAACATTTAATACATACATACGTTCCCGGACGGTGGATAAGGATTTTTGTTCGAAACGACAGAGGAAATGGTTGTTCGCTGAGAAGCTGTTCGATAGGCAGTGATCCCTGGAGCAGAGGGAGGCATTCTCAGTCTATTGGTTTGTTCACTGGTCAGTTCCAGCAGTGTCGCTGTTGTTATGGTTGTTGCTGTTGTTGTTTTGCCCGTTTAGAAACGAGGCCATTTCCATCGGCGACTGTTGCCCGGTCTGTTTAGAAACATGCGTGTTCGTTTCGTTTCTTTCAGATCTCGCTTAGAGAGACACAGGCGTTCTTATTTTTCATTCTTTTTTTTCTTTCGGGAGGGTAGTTATTGCAACGTACGTGTGTGGTGTTCGGAAAGAACTAAAGAAAAGCGGCTTCCAGATAGAGTGCGGATAGTGAGTAGAATTTAAAGAGCAGCACGCGACCAATTGCTAAAGCTAGGAAAGACTCCTTAATATCGAATAGTCTGAAAGCAGAAATACGTCAGCCAAATGTAAATTCAGAATACAGTCGCGTGCAAGAATAAAGAGGGAAAAAGACGATGCGTCGTTTAAAAAAAAATTGATTCGTGTGGAATGAGTTAAGGATGTATTGGCTATACAGTCAATCCCAAAAGTTTATGTACCTTAGAAAAACGCATTTCCTATAATTAAAAAGAAATCAGAAATAAAAGTTGTTTTCCTTCTAACTTCGATATTTAACGAGTTACGTATGATTATTTGGTATTTTATTGATGTTGACAAAATCCGACCATCCCAGCGTCGAAACGGCGAACTTTTGGCAAAAAATTTCATTTTTCCTTAATTACTCCTAAACCGTTGGACATACGGAAAAATTGCATAGGACCTTTCTTGTAGAAGACGACGAGATCTACAATTTCTGTATAAAAGTTTGTCGCTAGCATTAATAGTTTACGAGTTATTGACGAAAAACGAAAAAACAGTTTTTTGCAAATTACTCGGAAACTATTGACGCTAGCGACAAACTTTTATACAGAAATTATAGATCTCGTCGTCCTCTACAAGAAAGGTCGTATGCAATTTTCCCATAGATCAAACGGTTTAGGAGTTATTGGCAAAAAACGAAAATTTTGCAAAATCTGAAGGGGTATCCCTTGGAAAAATCTCGGAAAAATCGAAAATTTTTTGTTGTTGTTTATTATTAGTAATGTTCTTCCGACGTCTGATTTCTTTTTAAAAAATGCGTTTCTAAAGTGCATAAACCTTTGAGATTGACTGTATAGCCAATACATCCTTAAAGCATGACGAGAACGCATTTTAAAAATAAAGATATGCTGTATACCGGCGGAGTATATAGTATAAACATTTGTATGAATAGATTTACTTGTATTTACTGATAAGGTGCGACTGAAGCCTCATGCTAATACTATCGATGATACGATATGACTTTAAGAAAAATGTATTGCTATCGACGGACTCCGCTCAGGGTTACAGATGGCAAGAACACACACACGATAGTACGATTAGTCGCGATACAAATATTGAAAGATAGAGGAAGAGAGAGGGTGTAAAAATAGCCACGACTACGTATACGATTGGCGTTACGTTTGCCTAATATAGCCTATGTTCTTTTTCATCTAACTCGAATTAGGGAAATTGAATGACCGTAGACGATCGAAATTGAACTCGAAGCAAAACAGACAGTACTGATAAGAGATTCTCGTTTCTTTCTCAAGCTCGACACAGCCCTCAGTCATTCTTTTCCTCTGACAGAGTAATTATCCTCTGACATAATTATTGACATTGCTACTTACAAATACCGACCTTAGGCTGTATTATATCTTCGGATGTATCGAGACCAGCCAGTGGATTTGACGTAATATTTATTTTCGAATCGGTTACTCCGCCGTTCATTACTCTCCCGTTCGTTATCGGCTTTCCTAAAAGACAAAATTAACATCCCCAATGTTCCATCAAGCTTCTTGATCACTCCTTCAAACTGTTAAATCATTACGAATGAAATTTACCTTCACTCTGTGATGATTCCCGACTCTGTTTATGTTTCGTCCTTTTGTACACTACAGCGACCGCTGTTAAACCACCCAGTAAAATCGATCCACCGAGAACTCCACCAATTATAGCGTACATGTTCACGTTTTTATCATCCGCGGGTCTCACCCGACTGTCCAACGTTAGATTGCTACCGTCGTTCCGATTATCGTGAACGCTATTATGTTCGGTTGTGATCACGGGCTTCTTAGTTTTCTTCGAGAGTATCTGAGAAAATTCTGAGGCAGCGTCCACGGAGAAGCTCTGCACCTTGAATTCGTACGTGGTATCCGGTTGCAAATGAGAAATAGTTATGTTGCACGAATCCTTCCCTTCGACCGTAGTCTTTATATAATCGCTAGCCGTGGTCGACGCTCGATGATACACGTAGAAACCATCAATGTTGACTGACTTATCGGGATTCTGCCAAATGAGCAGTACCTCGTGCGGACTCAAAGCTTCGATGTTTGTCAAAAGTGGTATCGGCATTCTATTGCTCTCGATACCACCGTCTCTGTTTAAATGAAATCGGACGGAATTCAGGCTGAGCTTGTTATCATTGTTCGAGTAAACGGCAGCGATTCGAAACCGGTAGGTGTGATCGGGTTGCAGATCGGTCACCTCGAACGACCGCACGTGCTTCGGTATCTCGGAGTTTGCGGTCATCCACTTGCCCTGTTTGCCGTTCATCTTCTGTCCAAGTTCCCGATACTGAACTTTGAAAAACTGAATCGGCAATCCCGTATTCTCAGGCACCGACCACCTGACCATCACGGATACGTCCGAGAGTCTCGTGACATTCGGTTGATTCGGCGGTACCAGCACGGCTGAAAATATGAATAAATACAATGAAGAAAAAGAAACATTTATCGAATTACGTATTGGTATACAAAATGGCAAAACGCAACGAATTACCGGTGCCTTTGCGTTTCCCCTCTTTGCCTCTTCGTCTTCCGCCTCCCCTAGTATGCTTATGTCTCGAGTTAGAGATTCCATAATCCGGTCGTACTTCGGCCACTCCGATGTGTTGTTTAGGGTTCACTCTCAGGAAATTACAACCCGAGTGGGAACCGTATTCGTTGCTGGCGACGCACTGAACGATTCCAGCGTGTTTCTTCTCCACTTCGGAGATGAGCAGAGTGGAACCTTTAATTTCCACGTTGTCGCTAGGCGTCAGAGATTCTCCATTGATCAACCACTCGATTTTTGGCTGCGGTTCACCGGTCACCGTGCAAGACAATTCCAATTCCCCGCCTTCGGAGAACGTCGATGCTTTCGGCGACTTGGTCACCTTCGGCGCCTCCATAACTTTCAGTATGATCACAGACTTGATGTGGCCACCGTTCCCGCTCCATATACAATCATACTCTCCCCGGTCTACCGGCTGTACGTTGATTATTGTTAACCCCATCGGAGTCTTTACGGAGTTTGAAGGTAAAGGGCTGCCCAGTCTGCTCCATGTGACAGAAGGCACTGGGTATCCGGCACCGAAGCACTCCAAAGTCACGTTCTTCCCTCTTACAATCTTATATTCTGTTTGCGGTTGTTTAACGAAGAATGACGCCCGGTAGCTGGCATTTTTGTACACGTTTAATACAGTCTTGTGGTTACTCGAATACACTTGCGTCGTTATGTAATTATTAGCGGAACAGCGGTAAGATCCACTGTCCGATGGTTGAACGTTTTCGATCACCATAGTTGTACTACCTACTATGCTGAAGTTTTGTATGGCGTTATTGTCTTTGTAAAATTGAATTATGGCCTCCGGAACGGAGTAAGGCACAGGACACGTGATAGGCACGGTATTCCCTGCTGGCACGTTTATGACTACGTCGCTCTTGTCGGTGAACTTTTGCAAAGTGGCAAGCGTCAATCTTGCTGGATCGGAAGCTAAGCCGCTCGAGCCTGGAAAACAGAAAAACAAGCATCAGCCCAGTCGGGTAGTAATTTAAACGGAATCCAGAAAAATGTTAACGAAATATTACCATAGTAAGCGATGCAGCGGTAATCACCGGCTTTCGACTCGTCGTCGAAGTTCACCACATGCCTGGAAGTCTTGCCACCGTTGCTGGCCGCGTGAAGAACCGGTAACCACTTATCCGAACCCAGCGGCCTATGGCGCCAAGAGAAGCGGTCGGCGACGAGATTCAAATTACACTCAAAGTTCACCTCGTCGCCTATCGGCGCATCCAAGGGCTGGGGATGCCTCGTGAAAGTCATGCCCAGTTCCTGTCTTTGCCCTGAATAAAATCTCGATGTACTCGCCGAACGTATGACGAAGTCGGGAAATGAATGTAAGAAAATATTTACCTGTCGCAAGACTGACTAAAACGAGAAGCAGAGCCGTGACAACGCCACAAAAAGAGGGTACAGGTCGCATCTTGACACATTCTGCAATCAAGGAAGAGAAGACGATGGTTACGTTAGCCGGGCACGAAGCTCGCCTCGGTCTCTGTGGTCTCTTTTTCGACCTGATTCTCTCGAGATGGAACGGCGACAAACATGTAAAGACTCGAGGCGCCAGAAACAGAGGGGCCCCAACTAAAATTGATGCCGGCCAAACCACGTTTAAGTTTAGAATCTGGCGAGTTCAACGTGGAAATAGAACGCGTTCATTCTAGTTTTGATCATGGCTCGTCATCTCGGAAGGAACGCGCGCCATCCGCTCTCGTCCCCATGGAACGTGTCGCGCATTCCAGTGAAACGTAATATAACACGATTTAAATATGTACGCGAACGCTGGTTCGTTTTGAAAGCCTCCGTCGAGTTGCCGGTTTCGCCAATCAAGGCGATTCCTAAAGCCGATAAAAGGAACGGAGTCGTGCGTCCTCCGCGAAATTTGACTTTGTAATTTGTTGAATTAAGAATTCGGGCGATTCCCCACGACTGGTTCTCATAAGCTTGTTTAATAAATAATAAGTATGTAAGATGTCTTCTGATGTACTTTGCAATGGAGCAGCACGAAACGTTAATAAAGCACTTTATCAATTCATTTGAAAGAATAATCGTTTGAGTCTGTAAAAAAGAAGTTTGCAATTATCTTCGAGATATCGGGTTGATGCATTAAAAGATGCTGGGAAGTGAATTCGGAATGGGTGATAAGATCATGAATTAAGTCCAACAAAGACACCACAAAGAAGACAACGTGAAAATGACCATATACGGTGATGAAAACCGACGTTCATTCAGCGTACCGCTTTCCACCCACGTGCGAACGTCTGACCATCGTGAGTCGAGAGTGACGATCAGAAAACCGTGCTGAGTGCTGACACGATCAAGACCGATGGCAATTATCCGTTGGCTAACGTACGCGTTAAATGTAGGCAGATCCATTCGTGGACCACGCCATACTCGCCCGCCTACTCGACAATTCTTATTCTAATAACAGGAATCAACGACACGAACGATTCTCTTCTCCTCAGGATGTCCAATAATTGCTCGAAAGAGTTTTAATTTCGCCAGATTCCGGGAAAGATCTTTTAATCTCTAGTCCAGAAATTCTTTTACGACGATCATTTATTACGAGGAAGCGGATCTACTCGAGGGAGGATCGTTCGACGGACTCGTGCTCGAGCAGCAACACATTTTTCATTAGAACCAAAGTCACGGAAACAAAAAGCTTGCGGTTCGGTCCTTTCGCGAGACAGTTGAACGTGTTTTATGCATGGAAGGACTCTTAACTTCTGGTTAAATGGTAGCATAAATGCCGGTGGTATGTAACAGGTGAGAAGGGTTCCAAAGAGGCTGGTTTCCGACGTTGCCTCTCATAAAAATAAAGAACTCGAATTCCAAAGCAGTGGTTGTCAAGCCCTTACACGCGCGCGCTGCGACGATTCCGTGTGCCTAACCCTATGAACGAGCCAATGCCACCCGAGTTACGCGTGTACACACGCGCGCACGCATACACGCGTATCATCGCCATACAACTGAACAAGAATTAGACTCGTTTCTACAACCTGTCGTTGACCAGAGGAACACTCACAGTCCACTGCACTAAATCCTTTTTGCGCCGGTGATTCTTCGGCGCCGATCGCTCGATATACACAGAGAATCGAGATCCACTTTCACGAACTCGTGGATCTCGTATAATCGGCCGAAATACGGAAAACTGTGCTCGATCTCCCATTCGTATTTCGCGTATAACTTGTCCCGTTTGTGATCAAATTTTATGATTACAATTTATGTAAAACGATGGAAGGTAGTACGTTGGCTCCAGCATTCCTCTCGGTTTTGTGAAAAATGATCGCGACACGTTTTGTGAGAATTTGATATAAATCTTGTTAAAAGCGGTATAATAAATTATTAGAAGAAGACGACGAGGATGCATTTTAAAACGGGGACGAAATTGGTGTAAATTTAACTTCCGCAGGCCCTAACGAACAGGAATCAGGAAGATCGGGTTCCTGTTAATCGGACGCATTCTCTGACAAGTGGATCCTTCCTCTCGATCGATCGCCGATTAATCACGTTGGCGAACTTTTATTCTCATCACATCTTCGAGTTACGTACCAATACAAGGCACATGACTAACATAATTTTCGCGACTCTGTATGCATGGTACGGTTAGCAGAACGAGAGACGAATATTTAGCTCTATATGTGTCATACGCTATTTTGATCTACTTCCCATTACCGTCGCCTATCAAATCATTAACAGTTTGCGTTCACTAAAATTGCTATTTTGCGCCCCTTCATTTTCATCAATCAATCGACACCGGGATCTGAGAAGCCTCGATGCTCAGTGCCGAATTCCATGTTACGATTCTCAGACAAAGAGATCGAGCGATCGACCAGTTTTGCCGAGGGACTTAATATAATATAAAGTTTGACGTACTTGACGTACGCATTGAGACTAGACTTTGATTAAAACATAAACACGATAATTGAACGCAAGCGCATCAAGTCGCGCGGTACTTATTACCTCGAATTCTAATCATCGTTAAATGCGTATCGTCAGTTGAAAATAATAAATTACGCTTGACGATGCTGCATCGTTAACTGCAATAACGTTCGTGTGAATTCCCATACTTTCAAACACGATTAAGAAATGAAACCAAAGTAGAAACTCGAGTCAGCTTCCAAGTATTATGATACAAGAACTTTTGCGCACATCGTGTACACCCTTCGTCTCTTTAGCATTTAGAATTTTAAACATCCGCGATCTATTCATTACGTTCAAATTTCACCGAGAATACCGGTGGCTCACCCCTTCCGGCAGGTGATCCTTTACGGACAGGCGACACGGCAACCACGATTTTTGACGATAAGCAGATCGCTCGATACAGTTTCATTCCCGTTCATCGGTTCATCATCAGTCGAGAATGCAAGCGAATTGTCGCGATGCACGGAAATGAAAAACTGATGGGGGTCGGCGACAAAGGCACAGAAAGAAAACAAATAGCTGATACTTAATCATGCTTCAGCGACACTCACCCTTTTTCCTTCGATCCAGCCGCAGGATCTATCCGTTCCAGATCCTTTCGTTTTCCCGTAAACCGAACAAAATAATGTCCTCGCGGAAGGAGAAGGACGGATCCGTTAATAATTTCTGCCGGTGAATCGTTTCATTTTTTCCACGGGGAGCGTTGGCAAGTTGAACGGGTTCGACTTCCTATAGACACGACGCTTGGCGTCCACCAGCACACTGGAATGCAGACCGACAGGTTTTGAACCGCGATAAAGTATAGTAACGACGACGACGTGTGTGCCTCGATCTGGGATCTAGCATCTGGGTACTCGCGTGCAGGTTGGTACCTATATTGTCGAGCGGTCACGTGACCATGTTGAATTTCAGATATGCAGTTAAAAAAAATCGCTTATGGGAAGAGATTTGCCGGTTGGAATCTTCCAACGACGGTGAAAATTTTCATATTTTTCAGCTTATGCATCGTCCAATCGATTTTACATCGTTTCTAGAAAAGGAAATCTTCACAATAAGGTTCGGTCTACCTGCAGAAAAATGTTCTGCAGTTGGCGCCAGTTTTGAAATTGTATGGACTTCGAGAATGATTTCGTAAGCAGCGAACACATTTCGCTACAGAACATGGTTACACGACGGACATAAATAATTTAGAGTTTAAATATAGAAATATATATTAATATATTGTATTCAAAGTAACATTAATTAACAATAATTGATTTTTGTCTGTTTCTTTTACAATTTTGCGATCAATAACTTTGTTCACGATTATACATATACGTGTATGTATAATATAGATAATTAAATACATGCTGTAGCGTGTTTCGAGAAGGTAATGTGTAAATTTAAACAATCAATTCTGCTCGCACTCGGTTACTTCGCATTCTTTTCATTGATAAAGGTCTATTTCGGTTACGGTCTAAAATATTAAATAGTTTACTCAATTATATAAGCAAGGTCACAAAAACTTAACAAACATTTTACAATGTGTTTCATTTAAAATGAGTAATAGTTATATTAATATTAATAATAATAAT